AGTCTCCAAAATAGGAGACTTTTCCAATAAGTTAGGAAGATACGAATGACCACCAGAGATCATGCTTTACAAAACAGAAATATACACATCACAGTGACTGTGTTGACCTTCACATTGGAGGCCGGTGCTACTGACTCTCCATTGCTAGGATGCTGTTGGGTGTATACCATTGATACACATGCTTTGGATTTTCTTAATAGTGTTGTTTACCGTGCTGTCTGCCTGTCATAATCAGCTGACCAAGATTAGGGGTATGGTCCAAGGCCAGGGAATAACTTACTGGCTGGGACCAGGGGCCGAGACAACTTTGACCTCCTTAGCATCAGATTGCAACCAACTCCACTGACCAGTCCCAGGTACTAGTTAATTATAGTCATAAACAGTAACTGTAGATCCTTCTCAGTGGGGGCTAGTTAGTAGGGATGTTGAGAAATGTGAATGATGGTTATTAGGGAGATAAACCCCTGGGCACATTTCTGTATTTCTATAGATCCCAGTCCATGGGAAAAGGGTTACCCTTCACAGGCAAGACTTTTCATATTTAAAGCCACTCATCAAAGCAATAAAATTTAGCTTGAAAGTTTGGGGAACTTTTTGAAACTATAATTATGTTATTAGGTTTGGAGGAATTTGTATACCATGATTAGGTTATTAAATTATTATAAGACCTATGGGCCTAAGAAGTTTTTTATTGTCTCTGCATTACCATTTACATCATCACCTTAGAAATGACATCCTAAGAATTTCAGGTCTATCTCTCTCAATACAGAGCATCTTGGCTGCTAATTTGGCAGTGATACTTTTTTCCATATGGTGTAAACGATGATGTGTTTTTGTGTCCTTTCAGGTAAAAAGCAGGACATCTGGTATGTTATTGACCTCCTGACTGGGGAGAAGCAGCAGACCTTGTCATCAGCCTTTGCAGATAGTCTCTGCCCATCAACCTCTCTTCTGTATCTTGGGCGAACAGGTAAGAAATGAACCTTTGTCTTCTACAACCTGCCTGTTTCCAGAAGGGATCGGAAGAAGCTCCCCAGCCTCTTTCCCTAGAAGGTGGCCAGAGCTTCCTTTTTCCAAACACAGGTCTGATCATGTCATTTTCCTTTATAAGACCCTTCAGTGTCCCCCACTGCTCAAGGGATACAGTCCAAACTGCACCACTGCCCAGAAAAACCTCTGTGATGTGACTGCCACCTCTCTCGCCTCATTTCGCTCATTTCAAAGTTTCCTAGCCGGGCGCGGTGGCTCACGCCTGTGATCCCAGTATTTTGGGAGGCTGAGGCAGGTGGATCACCTGAGGTCAGGAGTTCGAGACCAGCCTGGCCAACATGGCAAAATGCTGTCTCTACTAAAAAAAATACAAAATTAGCCGGGTGTGGTGGCGGGTGCCTGTAATCCCAGCTACTCAGGAGGCTGAGGCAGGAGAATCACCTGAACCTGGGAGGCGGAGGTTGCAGTGAGCCAAGATCAAGCCACTGCACTCCAGTCTGGGCAACAAGAGTAAGACTCTGTCCCCCCACCCCCCCCCAAAAAAAGTTTCCCAATTAGGATGAACTGCCTGCAGCTCCCAGAATGGCAGTGTCATTTTTAAAGGCTTGTAGTGGTGTGGCCCTCTCCACCAGGTATGCCTGTTTTTGCCTATCTGGCAAATATCCTCTTTCCTTGCACAACTCTGCTCAAAAGTCACCTTCTCTGTGAAGTCTCTTCTCCAGCCTCTTGGCCTCCACCCTGCTCAGGAACACCTGGCTCTCCCGTTCTAGGGGCACATGTAGCAGTTAACAAGCCTGTTGTGACAGCCATCTCACCCCTTGTCATTGTCCCTTTGTAGGCATGGCTTGCACCCTCTTCACCGCACCATTTTCTGTTTCCTCCTTTTTCAGCCTCTTTCTTCTTAACTCTTGGCACTGCATATTTATAAATTCTATGTGCCTACTTCCTGCCTCCCTCACTAGAATATCAGTTCCCTGAGGGGACGACTTTGTTTTGCTCACCTGCTGTCTCTCTACACCAGGCATATTGCCTGATGTGTAACAGGGGCTCAATGTTTGAGTGTATGAATGGGTGAGCCCCATTACTGCAGAGACCTGCCTTACTCATTATCATATGTGCAGCACCTCACACATGTCGGGGATGCCATGAAACTTGTTGAACGATACTTAAAGCTAAAAGGAGAAACAAAAAACATTTAGAAGGAAAAAATCATACCAAAAACCTAGGATGAATTCATTACAGTTGAGCACTACATTTAGGTCTAAACTTTCAGACAGACAAGGATTTGAAAAAAAGAGAACCTTCCTGAAAGTGTTGGGGAAAGCACTGCATTTCTAAAACTCAGTGAGACTAATCTTGGACCCTGCAGAAGCTGGCTGGGCTCTCCTGGGAATGGGTGGAAGGTCTTAGACTGTAAAAATCAGGTATTCCAGCTTCTAACTGTAGTGACTGCTTAGGATTTATGTGTTTACCTTTTCCATCAAGTAAATTCTTACAGTGGCCCCAGCTTCATCCAGATATAAAACTTGTGTCGTTCTCAGGTGAAACTGTGGTGTTCAAAGGAGCTGGGATATGCATGAGGTGGAATGTGTGTGCATAGGTGTGTAAATCCACTGCCTCCATTGTCTATTGCTGCATGACAAACCACCCCAACTTAGTGCCTTAAAACAAGCATTTTATTGTTAATGATTCTGTAGGGAATTCAGGAAGGACTCAGCAAGGACCCATCATCTTTACTCCACATGCTTGGTTGGCCTCACTCATGTATCTGAGATTTCGGTTCACTTCCATGTGACCTTTCTCCATATAGATAGCCTGGACTCTTGACATGGCAGCCGGGCTCCCTCTTGAGTAAAAATGGGTATTACAGTGCCTCCGAAGGTCTGGGCTCCAAAGTTCTAGAACCTTCCTTCCACTGCAGTCTGTTCGTTAAAGCAAGTCTCAAGGCCAACTGAGAATCAAGGGTAGAGATACAGACTTGGCCTCTTGATGGGAAGAGTAACATGCATATTACAGGTATGGGAAGAATTGGTAGTAGTGACCTTTAGAGATGTTCTACTGCAGTCCTCCCTCAGGCTGCAGTAGTTTACAACCCTCCCACTCCCTCCAAAGACCCCCAAAATCCAATCCCAGCATCAGTCCCAAAATCTCATGTCTCGTGATCTGCATCAGGTCTGGAGGTGGATGATGTTCTTCAGGTGTAGCTCCTCTTGATTGGAGACCTGTGAATTAAAGAGACAGGGTCTTTCTCCCCTTCCCATCCCCCACCCAACATACAGTGGTGAGATGGAGACAGGATAGCTGCAATAAACATGTTCACTCAAAAAAGGGCAGGAAAGAGAAACACATATCACACATTGGACCTTAGTAATTCTGAAATCTAGCCAGGCACATGTTTTCAGGTTGCCCTCCTCCAGGGGTAGGGAATATTCCTTCATTAGGGCCCAGTTTTGCCCTCTGGAATTAGTTCCCTAATATAGTGCTCTCAGTGGCTCTTGGTTCTGCCCTCTGAGAAGTCCTTTCTTTTCCGTAACAAATGGCCAGTTTTGTATCTTTCTCAGTCTGTTCCTTGTCCATTGAAATTTAGGGATCTAGAAACCCTTTTTTTCAATTTGACTGTCTCTGATCCTTTTAGTTTATGCTAATACCACTCCTTTAAAAACTATGTGAGCTTCCCATGTGTCAAATTATAGTCTATTCCATTAGATAAAAACCATACCCACAAGTCTCTAGACTTTGGAATGTGAGTTTAGAACTCCTTTGATGCAGAGGGTGTATGAAGAGCCGCCTTAAACTCTTTTGGAGGTCTCAAAGAAGGATCTTACAGCTTAACCTTTGATTTTATTGATCTTTACCCTGAACCCATTTTTTGTTGCTGGCAGTACCCTGGATTTGATCTTTTCCCTAAAGTTATTTTTTATAATGAGAATCTTTTCCAGCAGTATTCAGTCCTGGACCCTTTATATTTCCTCTGTATTCTGCTGAAAAATTTCTTCCTCAGCTCATTTGTCTCACAGTATATCATAGACAGCTAAGAGAAACCAACATTCTCTGCTTTCTGTCTGGAAATCTCCTTAGTTGGATCCCTGAGTTGATTAGATATTTTTTCTGTCTTCCAAGTTACTGCAAGTAATAGTCATACTCATCATGGCACCCTCCACAAGCTGGGTCACCCCTTTTCCACTTTGAATAGCAGTGCCCCCTCTGCACTAGCAAGTCTCCACCAACCTTTTTGTCAGCCTCCCAGCCTCCACCTACCAGCTGGTCCCAAAGTCAATGCCACATGCTTTAGGTGTTTGTTATGGTGCCATCCTGCTTCAAGGTGCCAGTTTTTAACTATCAGCAATCCATTGCTATGTAATAAGGCACCCCAAACCTTAATGGCTAACAATAACAACCATTCTATTGCTCACGATTCTGTGAGCCATGAGTCCAAGGGCATAGCAGGGGTGGCTCGTCTCTGCTTCCACATGCCGTCAGCCAGGCTCACTCATGTGTCCGGGACTTCAGTTCTCCTCACATTGCCTTTCTGTATCAAAATGGATAGTCTGGACTTTTTGGCCTACAGTTTAGGGAGGAATTGTTTGTAATTAGATAAGGACCATATCTCAGTATGTACTGTGGCCCCTCTGTGGTAATGGGCTGGCTGGTCTGTGTTCTTTAGAATACACCATCACCATGTACGACACCAAAACCCGAGAGCTCCGGTGGAATGCCACCTACTTTGACTACGCAGCCTCGCTGCCCGAGGACGACATGGACTACAGTAAGTGCTCTCTGCTGGATTTCACAAGCTTGAGCCAGTACTTTTGACCTATGTGGAAACAGTTGCTCCAGAAAGTAGGATTTTCTTTTAAGATACTGTTTGTCACCAGGTTCTTTCTTTCCATGGACTTTTCATGGGCTTATCGTAAATACTTCCCACAGTCAATGTGCAGGGACCTTGGTGAAGTCTGAAGGCAAACCGAAGTAAAATGGTGACAAGCTTAGCCAGAGAGGAAGGAGGACACCCCTTGTTGAGTCTTTCTATGTCACAGAAGGAATTTACTGCAAGCCCATGGAAAGTAGAAGTAAAATCAGCATAGGATATTAGCAACCCTGTCAAGAAGGCCTCTCTGCAAATGTGACTCATCCCTAGTTATTTCTGCAGTTAACATTCACCTCGCTCAAATGAAAACTAAAAACCAATTCTGTCACCTTAACATTGGTGTCAAAGTTGGACTCTGCCTTTCCTGGTCAAGGACCTAGAATATTTTCATTTTTCTCTGAGGACTCCTTTGTGAATCTCATGGGACAGTGTCAGTGGTTCAGGTCTGACTTTCAGGGTTTTTTTTGTTTTTAGGGGGGTTTTCTTGAGGCAAGGTCTCCCTCTGTTGCCTAGGATGTGTGCAGGGGTGCAGTCATGGCTCACTGTAGCCTCAAACTCCTAGGCTCAAGCGATCTTCCCACCTCAGCCTCCTAAGTAGCTGGGACCACAGGCACGCACCACCACTCCCCTACCTCCCCTGGCTAATTTTTTTTTTTTTTTTTTTTTTGTAGAGATGTGGGTCTAACTATGTTGTCCAGGCTTGTCTTGAACTCCTGGGCTCAAGTGATCTTCCCACCTCAGCCTCCCAAAGTCTTGGGCTTACAGACATGAGCCACCACAGCTGTCCCTGACTTTCAGTTTGATCGATGGGTTTCAAGTGACTGCTATGAAATGCCAGATTAATAGGCATCTCCATTGGCTCCTTTCTCCTCAGTGTTTACTCTCACTTATTGAATAGAATGGTAAAGCACATCACCAAATAAATTGCCTTTGGGAGAGTGATCCTATCCTGTGTTTGCAAGCCAGCCAGCTCCCAGTGTCTTGATATTATAGAGACTAAGTGAGTTCATTGGAAACAAGTGAAATTGCTCAGAGGAGATCTGAGAATATTCCAGAAGTCTTGTTTCCTCTAACTGAGTGACTACAGCCTGCCACAAGAGTAGAGGATGTGGTTTCAAGATGGGGTGAGACTCAGCATGCTTTGTTTATTTGATCTGTACAGAGATGTCCCACTTTGTGTCCAATGGTGATGGGCTGGTGGTGACCGTGGACAGTGAATCTGGGGATGTCCTGTGGATCCAAAACTACGCCTCCCCTGTGGTGGCCTTTTATGTGTGGCAGCGGGAGGGTCTGAGGAAGGTGATGCACATCAATGTCGCCGTGGAGACCCTGCGCTATCTGACCTTCATGTCTGGGGAGGTGGGGCGCATCACCAAGTGGAAGTACCCGTTCCCCAAGGAGACAGAGGCCAAGAGCAAGCTGACGTGAGTTGGGAGCTCGGGGAAGGAGAGGGCGGCCGTGGCCTTTGTGTTCTGGTGCTGTTGCAATGTAGCAGGCCCTGCATGGGAGGCCAAAGACAGGACAGTCTTTGAAGCCATGAGGAATATCCAGAGCCACGTCTGCTTCGTTCGGAAACCTCAGAATAGAAGAACTGAGGGGCACCCATTAAAGCTTCAGAATTCTTAAATATTACATAAAAATCATGAGTGGGAGGTGCCGGGCACCATGGCATACACCTGTAATTCCAGCTACTTGGGAGGCTGAGGTGGGAGGATTGTTTGAGCACAGGAGTTTGAGGCCTACCTGGGCAACGTGGCAAGACCCTCCCCCTGCCGCCACACACGCACAAATACAGGTGGGGATAGGAAAGAGACTGCCAGTGTAAGTATACTTTGGATCTATCTTAGGTGGTAGGGATGCAAGAGATTTATTTTTTTAACTTTCTATATTTTCTAAATTTTTAGGTTATATTCATTTTAAAAATCAGAAAAAAATAGTTAACAGTGTGTGTCTAAGACTCAGCAGGCTTCTGTTCTCCATCCCCCTGTTATTAGCCTATCACTGAGTCACTTAAACTCACCAAGCCTCAGTTTCTTCATAGAGTTGTGTGGAAGATCAAATACGATAATGTGCCAGAGAGTATTTAGATTGTAAAACACCATTCAAATGTAAGATATTCGTTGAGAGAGGTTTAGATAATGTAGTGGATGACCGATCAGGTGGGCTCTTGACAGTAAGCAGAAGGGCCAGGGGGTGTAGCTCTCCTCATTTTCCATCTCCCTGATGTCCCACATGGGGACAGACTATACAGCTGAGGAACCAGAAGTCTCACCAAGTCTGGAATTTCTTATGCATCCCTTTTGCCCTCGGCATCCAGAGTAGAGCACCATTTCTCAGGAGTTCTGTAGGACCTCCAGGATCCTTAGCACAGGGCAGAATGGGGGTAGTTTTGGTGGTCGCTGGAGTGAAAGTGTGTTGTACAGGGTCGTCTGAGGGGCCTCGGCGGTGCTGGTAAGTACTCAGTCTCCTGGATGGCCATTGGACGTAGTCCATTCTGCAGGCATCATGGGCATCGTCTAGTCCAGCCCTGCAATTTTGCTGAGGCTTGCCATTAAGTGGCTTGTCCATGTTTCTGCAGTGAGTGACAGCTGGGACTAAAGTCCTGTGGCCCTGTTCCCAGGGCAGTGCCCCACCTTCACACCCCTACTGCTTTCCTCCACGTCTGGGGGGTTAATGTGGTCATCCCTGTGGGTGGTATTTGGGGTTATGATTCCTCCTTTCTGTGGGGTCTGGAAATTAAATGACTCTGGAATGCATGTATCTGTTTTTCTCCTAGGCCCACTCTGTATGTTGGGAAATACTCTACCAGCCTCTATGCCTCTCCCTCAATGGTACACGAGGGAGTTGCTGTCGTGGTAAGTCCACTATGGAGGGCTCACAGCTGCCTAACTGCTGTTGTTCCATTTTAGCAAAGAATGACTTTGCTATGCACAAGCATACTGCGGGTTAAGAATGCAAAATACAAATCTTAAATTCTCAAAAACAGTTTCCGCACATGCCATATTCTACTTTGAAAGAAAGATACATGACAGAAACAGCTTCTTAAAGCTGAGGAATCCCTGATTATTTCCCTTTGCTTTTGTGGTCAAATCTAAACTCCCCAGGCTGGTGTTCATGGCTCTCCTTAATCCAGCCCCACGATGCCATTCTGCCAACCTGTTAGTTTCTCTGTGTGAGTTACATGACCCAAGCAAGTGCACTTTCTCCCTGACTTCTACAAGCTTCCTGTTTATCTTTCCCCAGGGCATTTGTTCAGGCTGCTCCTCACCTCACGTTTCAAGTGCCCTTTCTTCTTCCTTTTCCCTACTCAAACCCTTTGCCTGCTTTTGCAATCTCTCCAAGCCTCCTTGGGCCTCACCAGCCTGCCTCGAACATTCTGTCTCTGAAAGTCCGAGGCATCGTAATCCTAGCTGTTTGTCTTGATCCCTACAATGCTTGGACTGTGTGGTTGGCTCTCTTGTCTTCCCAGTGAGTTGGGCGACTGCTCCTGTGAGCAGACAGCGCCTGCCCCTGTCGTAGTTCCAGCAGCACCTGAGCCAGCACCGGGTGTGTGGGTGGACTTTATTCCACCCCGTTGGTTGCATCAGTTGTGACTAACAGATATCCATTCGTTCTCCTTCACTTATGTCTGCTTCTTGTAACGGCGTCTTGGAGTTCTACACACACACTTCTTGTTCCCTAGTACCCAGACATAAGAATCTGAAAAGTCGTCCATAAAGACATCAGTGCAGCTTGTCACGTCCTGAGAGAGGAGCTTCTTTGCCCAGAGTTGGGCCTTTGTGTCCTTGTCCTTTGGGCTCTGTCCTGGACTGGCCCTGCACTAGAAATCGCTCACCTTTCAGGACAGTGGCTGGGATGGTGTGCCACGGGACGTGCTCTCCCTTCAGGGCTGCTGACCCTCACTGCACCCTCTCCACAGCCCCGCGGCAGCACACTTCCTTTGTTGGAAGGGCCCCAGACTGATGGCGTCACCATTGGGGACAAGGGGGAGTGTGTGATCACGCCCAGCACAGAGCTCAAGTTTGACCCCGGACTCAAAAGCAAGAACAAGCTCAACTACTTGAGGAATTACTGGCTTCTGATAGGTAAGAGCGGGTCTCCCACAGTAGCCAGAGGTGACAGCATGCTGCCTCCTGGTGGTCAACCACCGGCCCTGGTAGTTACACTATACTCAGCTCGGAAGGCCTTGTGCTCAGAGCCTTTCCCGGCTGGCCCCTGAGACCTTGGGACATTTTTACCCCCAAGGAAAATCAACAAGTTAACTGTGTTTCTGAGTCAGTTTTTGAAAACTGTTTAATGTTCCAAAACTCAGGTACTAAATCATGTAAACCTTGTGTGATTATCCGACATTAAGCCCTTCAGAATGCATTTCCTCATTCCTCACAGCCACCCTGTGTGAGGTAGGTACCCTTGTCATTTCCATTTTATAGTTAAGAAAACTGAGACTGTTTCTATGGAAGAATTAACTTGGGGTCCGTGTGGGCATGAGGGTGAGGGGTTTGAGAGGCAAGGGCTGAAGACCCAGGAGGGATGAATTCCCAGGATGGGTTGAGAGCAGCAGAGTCGGGCTGGTCATGGTTCTAGGGCAGTATCGTCCCAGGTGTGTGGGAAGGTCCCTTTTTTCCTCTCTCTCTTGTTTTTGCTGCCATCAGTAATGGCCAGGGGTTGAACTAGAGGCCCTGTCCCAAGAGAGATAAGAAGTTGACATGACGCCCAAAGGCAGCAAGTGTGACAAACGAAGGCAGAGATGAGAAGAGCTGTGTTCCTGGCGAGTGTGCCAAGTCATTAGAGCAGGAGGGAGTTTTCTTGAAATGCACCTGCCCTTCCTGTGCCCCACCCCCCACTGTTCTGCCACCTTCTAGCCCCAGTAGGGGCAGAGCAGGGCAGGAGGTCAGTCGGGTGCTGGAGCACCGAGAGGCCGATGCAGTTTCTTCTCTCTGTTCTCTTCCTCTCGTGCTTGCTGCTGACAGGTACTAGGGGAGAAAGAGGTCAGGGCTGGGGCTCTGGAAAAGAGATGTGGGGCAGCCGGGAGCATGTGGGGACCAGGAAACAGTAGAATCTGCCAGGCAGTGAGGTGTAGGTGGGGATGTGTGTAACCAGGTGTTACGGGGGGAACCAGATATCCTTGAGCCTTGATCCCTTTCTTTATAGATTGTCAAGGTCCATTTCTTTTTTTATCCTGATTCCTTGTAGCCATTTTTATTTTATTTTTACCAAATAACAGGTAAAGGAGATGACAAAATAATAATATGTTTTTACTAACAGAAGTAATTGGAGGAGCATGTATGAATAGGCCCATGGTGAGAAAAAAATAGCTAATGAGCAGAGGCCATTGCAATTACAAGGCTGCTCAGCATTACGGGCCAGTTAAGGGGCTCACAGACTGCCCACCAGTGATTAAGAAGATGTGTATATATGAGAATAAGGAAATGTGTATATATGAGAATACAGAAAATATGGGGGCAGAGAGTCTTCATGGTTAACTTGTAAAATGAGATCCCTTTAAAATGGAAAGGTTGTCCAAGTAAGAAAACTGCGAAAATAGCAAAGTATAAGGAATCTATTAAGTATAAGGATCCCACAATTCAAAAGCCTCTTTGGAGGAGCTCCAAAGCTCATCATCTTAAAATATGGCACTGAGACTATGGCAGTGTCTCCTGTTGACGAGGACCCTTCTGTGTCCAAATGTGTCCTTTCATTTTCTCTTTGTGGAAAACATTAAAGATATTCCAGGTTGTCATTAATCTTGAAAATACAAGGATCCAATTAGCCTGAAAGGCATGGTCTGTGGTTTGCCCCAGAGCCATGGCCCGGACCTTGGGTGCTTTCAGCATCAGAGCTTAGTAAACTAGGCATATATAAGCCCGAGAGAGCCTGATTCAGTAGGTCTGGGGCAGGGCCTAGCCATCTGCTTTTTGCTCTAGAGTCTGGACCTAAGAGATAATGATAGATGAATACGTCAAGAAGACCAGGTAGTATTTGTACAAAATGTTTAGCGGTCTCATGAGTAAAGTTGTACAGTGGTTGATCGAGCATGTGCAGTGTGATATTAGTGAAGGTCCAGCTCCGGGAGAAGCCTGTTTACAAGAAGGTTGACAGGAGGACTAGGGGGATTCAGGCTAATGCCTTCCATAGCAGTCTCTTGGCAGGTGTCCTACCAGACAGGTAGGACTCTGAGCACTGAGTGGGTATTGTGGGAAGGGCAGAACACTGCTGCGCAGCGTGGCATGTGGAAGAACACCTCACTTTTCTTAGACCATAGGTCTCTTGTTAGTGAGCCTCAGAGTTACCTGCACACACTCACATTCAGATTCCTGGGCCCTACCAGCAAGTCTGATTCAGAGGTCTGAGGTGGGCAGACCACATATGGAGAAATCCTGCTCCCAAGCAAAGCATGTCTCAGAGCTCCTTGGTACACAAGAGAAAGTAGTGGTGGCTCAAAACAAAAGTAGGTTTCCCTTAAAGAACGATATTATGTTGTAGATAGAGAACTGACCTAAAGATGGGGAATCAAAGAGGAATTTTCCAGATCAAAAAATGTACATTGCTTAGACTAGTTCCTGTTTGTTGTCATCCTGGCATGTATGTCATGAAATCTTTGATAGGTTTAGGGGAACAATGGAAAGATCATAAGGTGAAAGAGATGTGAGTCAGAGTGAGATCTGCTCACAGCGAGAGAACAGAGAGGAAAGTCAGCCAGGCTGCCGGCAGCCTAATCTGAAAAAGTGACCTGGCTCTTTGGGGCAGTATGTAGACTCATTTTTAGAGATGAATGGATTATCAAGCCCTATCAAATCCCAGTTCCTTATTCTAGTCAGCTTTGTATCTCTTACAGTAATTGCACACAATAGATGCTCAATAAATGCGTAATGAATGCTCACTCAGTAGCCATGCAATAGTTGTGTAGTGAACAACGAATGAATGTGGAGCGAGCTACGGCCCCATCCATCTAGCAGGTGTGTCCTACTGCTGTCTTGCAAGTAAGGTACCACTTTCCCGGATGGAAGCTCACATTTACATAATAGTAGGACTAGAACTCCACCTGAGCAATTTAAATACCAAGATGGGAATTTGGCAGCCATAGAAGAGTGACGTTATAGGGGAAAGCATTGAAAGGAGAACTCCTTGAACTTTTAATGAAGCCTCATAATACTTCACCTGTGGATTGGACCCATGCAGCCCCATGAGCCTTGTGTCTGGTGCATCCCAAATGTCCTGATCCCTGTCATGACAAGGACACTTCTTTGCTCCTCACTAGGAGACACGGAATACTGTATTCTGCCATCAAGTAGTAAAAGTCCTGCTTTGATGGAATTTTCTGGTAACTGCCACTCATTTTCTCTAACTCGCAGTCTTGCTGAGAGTTTGCACTGTGGGCCCCTCAGTGGGTAGCACCTGTTGCCTAAGTTTAGCGTTGAGTGCCACCGCAGCTCGGGAAACTGTTCTCACTCAAGGTTTTGTTTCCTCTCATAGGCCACCATGAAACCCCACTGTCTGCATCTACCAAGATGCTGGAGAGATTTCCCAACAATCTGCCCAAACATCGGGAAAATGTGATTCCTGCTGATTCAGAGAAAAAGAGCTTTGAGGAAGTGAGTCGGGGTTGTTGGTGTTAGGTGTTGGGAGGGTGAGGCATTAGACTTTGACTTTGCCTTCTGAGCATGCAGCCTTGTCTGGAAGGGAAGAGGAATGCACCAGAATCCAAAGCGAACAACATAAATAGTTAAGGGCTAGTGGAGAGGAATAGGAAGCAACTCGTGAAGGAAGGTGCAGGAAAGGTGGCAGGACCAAGCTGGGCCTGGACCTGGATGAATGGGTAGGATTTGGCCGAGTGGAGGGAGCAAGGGGGCACAGGAGGGATGGTACAGCAAGGGCAAAGGCCTGGAGTGGGAAGAATGCTGGTGTGTCCAGCTGCCAGGCCAGACCCGAGGCTACTAAGCAGGGAGTAGTAGGAAATGGGCTCACACGGGTAAAAAGGAACCATGTTACAGTGCCTGGAACAAGCCCTGTGGAGGAGGAGCAAGCCCTATTAAAGGCTGGGTTGGGTGGCTCACATCTGTAATCCCAGTGCTTTGGGAGGCCAAGGCAGGAGGATTGCTTGAGCACAGGAGTTTGAGAGCAGCCTGGGCAACATAGCAAGACCCTACTGCTTTAAAAAAAAAAATGTTGAAGAAGTGATGAGACCTGAAGTTTTATGAAGCAGACAGAGAGTGGCCTGAGACTATTTGCGCAGTGTTCCAGGGGCTCTCTTAGCACACCTTGGCCTAAAGCCAGAGGAGAGGGAGTAGAAAGGACTGCAGACCCGGAGCTGAAACCATCAGTTGAGGAATTCAGCAGCCCCATAGAAGTCAACCTCATTCTCCTTCCTCTCTCTCATCTGCTGGCGCCCCCTGTTAGCTTTACACAGTCAGAAACGACAGGGGGTTGGGGAGGCCATTGCTTTGGTCCATACAGGTCAGTGTTCTGGGGCACAGAGCCGGTGGAGGAGGTGGAAGGGTGGCTGTGCAGGAGGGAACTCAACATGGCCAGGGAAGGGGAAGAGGGGACGTCTGAGGCTTAGCGAGCTATTCGGGCTTGGCGACTTCGGCAACCCTGCCATGGAGGGCCCAGGAACAGAGACACACCTGGGCTACATGAGCAGGGTCAGAAGAAGAAGAGAATGGCTGACTAATGCAGAGACCAAAAGCACAACAAATTCGGTTGAGAGATTTAGACTTTATCCAGAGACAAAGGAAATTGTGGACTTTCAAGATTCCAGGGCCCAGTATCTGTTTACCATCATCTATGGAGGTAGCCCAGTTGGAGAAATATGTTGATTCCTAAAACAGCAATCTCAAACAGCATTGTCCTATAATCTTATTAAAGTCCTGCATATTCATTATTGAACACTTAGAAAATAAACACATACAGAAGAAAATAAGACAGTGTCCTTAATTTTACACCCAGAGGTAGCCACAGGTCAGATCTTTACATTTAACCATCTAGTCTTGGATAACAGTCTTTGAAAAAGTAAGTATTAAAATACTCTGAGGTGCATCTGTATGGTGATGAGACATACAGATGTCCCTGGCCACATGCCCAGATGCCTCCTATACACTCTGCAGGCCACAAACCCCCCAAAATGTGGGAGGCACTGTGGGAGAGACGCGAACAAGAGGGGTACACCTGGAAGGGGAGAGAAGAACATTCTAGGCAGCCATCTGGGGGGAGGGGTGAAATGGTGTGAGTGTGCGGGAAATTTAGCATGTGGGAAATTCAGCACGTGCCATGGAGGCTGTGTTAGTTTTGTTGGGCAGATGATAACTGCATACCTGGAATACTAGATATTTGAGAATGAATCAATGCATTTTTCTAAATGCATGTTCCATGAAGTCTTGGAGATTCTGAGGAACTCTAGGGAAGCTCTATTTTTATCTGATTTAATTTTGGGCTTCTAAACTTTCTTTAACAAACACTTCTGATGCTTCTTAAAAACTTTGAAAAAATAGTGGACTACTGGAATAAATTATATTTTTGGGATTACACTGACGGTTTACAGGCAACACAAAACTGCTTTATTACTTTCTAGCCATGCGTCTCCGTATATGTGCGAATTTCCTTTTAATGAGAAATGGTATTATTAAATCAAATACCAATTTTTCACCAGACTTTGCTGCAGATGACTTCAGAGTTTTCCCGGATACTGAACCTACCATCAAAGGAGGAAGTGTTTGCCTTTTTGAGGATTTTCAAAAAAAAATATGTAGGGTCTGAAGACACCTGCCAAAAGTATTGCTCCAAAAACTATTTTTGAATAATGATAACCTCACTGCAAAGATACATGGTCTCTCAAAGCAATTGCTTTGAAGGAGGCAACAATTATCTGCCTGCATGATCTTTGGTGAGCTTAAAACAAATGCAACACCCTGCAGTACAGTCATATCCTTGTAAACAGTGATTGCCTCTCTTGATTGCTGGCCTCATCTGTATCTGGCTACAAATTTTGCAGTGATGTCGCAACTCTCTCCCATGCAAGGTTATCAACCTGGTTGACCAGACTTCAGAAAACGCACCTACCACCGTGTCTCGGGATGTGGAGGAGAAGCCCGCCCACGCCCCCGCCCGGCCCGAGGCCCCCGTGGACTCCATGCTCAAGGACGTGGCCACCATCATCCTGAGCACCTTCCTGCTGATTGGCTGGGTGGCCTTCATCATCACCTACCCCCTGGTAAAGCTCAGCACTTCCCCTTTGCCCTCCACCTGTTTCTGGGGCGTCTCTGCCTGTCACCTCACGTCAGTGAGATCGAGACAAAAACAACCAGCACATTTCGTTCCCCAGTTAAAAGTCAGTGTTTATCTTCAAAAACATAATTAAAGAGACACTAGCCTCCCAGAAAAGGACAATTTGGTACCTAAATCTTAGTGTTTTTCAAGTAAGAGCTGATGTATAAGCCTTGCTCAAAGATGATTTTGAGTAGTTATCTGTATTTTTAAAGAATAAGGATAATGGATGAAGACCTTTCCTCTCTTAAAAACTGCCATTAGAACGTCTGCTGGGGAGAAGAACCAATCAAAGAAAAAAGAAGCTGCCCGTGAGATCAGCTTGTGTGAAAAAGGCAGCATGGCCATTCCGTTACTTCTAGTTGGAAACGAGCAGGCTCCGTAGCGGAGCAGGCTGTGGCTGGGATGAAATATCTGAGGGGAGTGGTCCTTCAGCAGGTTGCTCAGAGCATCGAGATGCTGTTACCTGAGAGCTCAGGAAGCTAATGACCCGCCCAGGAATGGGAATGACACACCCTTTACGGCACTCCCCATTGGCACGTCTGCACCTGATGGTTTCACTTTTCACCTCACTCAGTCCTATGAGGTCATTATTATTGACCTCATAGGTCAATAATGATTTTCTTTTGTCCACAAAGGAAGCAAGTAGATCCTGAGGAGCTAAGTAACTTTCCTTACGGGTACCCAGCTAGTAGGCAGCATTTCCAGGACTCCATCCCGTGGTGGAGGGAAGGAGAGATGACTCCCTGGTTGGTTGGTGGCTCAAAGAAGTCCCTTCAGTCCACCTCCTGGACATGGGTAGGGATAATCACAGATCGCTACTACTTCAGATAATTACAGAATGAATCCTCAGGTATTTGAGAGGCATGTGGCCACGGGGAAGGCAGTGGGATGAAAGGGGGAAGCAGGACCTTAGCCAGGCTCCCCATGTGTCAGCCCCACTGCCACCTCCTGGCAGTGTGTGTGCAGGGGAGCACAGCTTCCTCACCTGCCCCTCTGGACTACTGAGCATCTGTGCGCTAGCCTCTAGCCAACATACAGACATGGTAGATGGCAAACCTGGGGCTTGCCCCCACCCACCACTGGCTCAGCCATGCTACCTGTGCTTCCTGTTTGGTTTCACCTTTGCAACAACTCTCAGACTTTCATAAAAATCACAGAATTTTAGAACCGAATGAAACTGGCACAGCCTTCAGCCTAGGACACAGTCCTTCCCCTGGTGGCCATCCAGCCCCTCCTAGGGTTGGGGAGTGGGCTGTACGAGCAAGGATCTAACTAGTCGGCAGAAAGACCTTCAGTCGTCAAAGCGATTCTGCCTCCAGGTGCCTTCTCACTGGTCTCTTTGTGCCCTGTGGGGTCACATAAAGTACACATGCTCCCTCCACCACTGGGACCTGTCCCTTCCCACCTGTTTGTTTCCCTGTGGGAACAGCTGCTCTTGTCTGGATATGGGTTTCTCTTCCCAGAGCATGCATCAGCAGCAGCAGCTCCAGCACCAGCAGTTCCAGAAGGAACTGGAGAAGATTCAGCTCCTGCAGCAGCAGCAGCAGCAGCTGCCCTTCCACCCACCTGGAGACACGGCTCAGGACGGCGAGCTTCTGGACACATCTGGCCCATACTCAGAGAGCTCGGGCACCAGCAGCCCCAACACGTCCCCCAGGGCCTCCAACCACTCGCTCTGCTCCGGCAGCTCTGCCTCCAAGGCTGGCAGCAGCCCCTCCCTGGAGCAAGACGACGGAGGTAAAGCCAATTGCCATCTTGATGCTATTTCGTGTTTTGTTTGAGCACCTCCTGAGAAGTCCAAGGAGTCTCCGTAAGATTGTAAAGTGCCATTCTCAGGGATGCACTGTGTTCTCCTCTAACTGGCACTCTGGGGGTCTCTGCGGGAAGGCTTCTGCCCCATCCCTTGGCATCTCCCCCTCAGAGGGCCTTCTGGGGACCACTCTGGCCATCCCCCTGTCTCTCCACAAGGGCTGGGTGTCACGGCTGACCAGAGGTGAGCTGCCCATTGGGCTGGAGAGAGTTCCCAGGGCCAGCCGGTGGCCAAGTGTGAAAGTGTCACAGTTGATCTGCTTTCCTCTGTGGAAGTTGGCTCAAGCCAGTTGTCAGAGCCCCAATTCTGAGGGAATTGGCACAGAGCTGGTGCAGGGACCTCAGAGCCCTCTGTCCCGGGCAGTCTCCTCATTTTTACGTGTCCACCACCGCCTCCTGAGTGTTTCAGTGCGATCTTTACAGTGGACTTTCGGGTTGTTGTTAACCATTAAACCATTCTAACTATATCACAATAAATATGTATAAGTATATGAAATGCTATGGAGAATGCCTGCCTTCCAGAAGGTTTTACTATATGCAATCACACAGTAAGGTAAAGGCAGAAACAGAATGCAGGGGCAGGGGGAAGAGGCAGCCCTGGGTGTACATGGGCAGTGAGCCCGGCAGGCTCTTCCTGAGCAGCAGTCTGGGGTGCAGTGCCTCTTAAATCCCATCTCTTAATCTGAGGTCAGGAAGCTTGCCACCACGTTAACCTCAAGGTTCTTTAGGTGATAATCTGTTTGAAACAATCTCTCTTTTTCCTGTTTTGTCCCAGATGAGGAAACCAGCATGGTGATAGTTGGGAAAATTTCCTTCTGTCCCAAGGACGTCCTGGGCCATGGAGCTGAGGGCACAATTGTGTACCGGTGAGTGGATTAGCCAGCCCCCTGCCCTCACCGCCTGGTGTCTAAGTTGTTGCCTGTCAGGTTGCGAGCCTGGTGCCAGGCTCAGAGCACAACAGGGTCAAAGCAGTGACCTAGGCACTTGGAGTCCCACCTCCAGGGAGCTTGCACACTGAGAGAAGCAATGATTCCGGGGCCACCAGGCAGTCAGTCGGGGCCCTCTAGGCTGGGAGGCAGTAGTTGAATGCTGTGGACCCAGGTTCTCACCTCGTTTACACAGCCTGACTCGTGCTTACCAGACACGACTCCTGCTCCTCATCCCGCAGGGGCATGTTTGACAACCGTGATGTGGCCGTGAAGAGGATCCTCCCCGAGTGTTTTAGCTTCGCAGACCGTGAGGTCCAGCTGTTGCGAGAATCAGATGAGCACCCGAACGTGATCCGCTACTTCTGCACGGAGAAGGACCGGCAATTCCAGTACATTGCCATCGAGCTGTGTGCAGCCACCCTGCAAGAGGTGGATTGATTTTTTTTTATTATTTTGTTAACTTTATTAAAGTCATAGCACTTTGGGAGGCCGAGGTGAGCAGATCACTTGAGTTCAGGAGTTTGAGACCAGCCTGGACAACATGGTGAAACCCCATCTCTACAAAGAAACCAAAAATTAGCCAGGCCTAGTACTGTGCTCCTATAGCCCCAGCTACTTGGGAGGCTGAGGTGGGAAGATTGCTTGAGCCTAGGAGATCGAGGCTGCAGTAAGCAGTGATTGTGCCACTGTACTCCAGCCTGGACAACAGAGTGAGAACCCATCAGAAAAAAAAAAAAAGTTACAGTGAATTGTATTCATTTTAAATGTACAGCTTGATGAAGTTTGACAAATGTCTATACCCATTTAACCACGTACACAGTCAAAATATGGAGCATTTTCATCCCTCTAGTTGTAACAGGGTGGTCCCCCCGCATGCCTGGGCAGTCTGCTTGCAGTTGGCATGTCTCTCCCTCTTTGCCTCCAGGAAACCTGGACAGTTGTTCCTCCCATCTTCAGTCATGGCTGGTGTGGGCTTGAAGGATGCCGGCTGGTAACTCCAGGCTTTCAGATCATCCAGCAAACTCCTTTTGTTCAGTTTCCAGGCTCACCTTGAAACTCTATCAGTATCATTTGGATTCCTTTGTAGGTTTACCTATATGAGGCAATGAACTTGAGTTTCTTGCCTTCTTATCTTTCTTATTGTAAATTAGTAGATTGGAGCTTTGCTCCTTGTTGGAAAATATAGATTTAGACAGAATGTTGTCAGTAAAACTTCCCGTTTCTTTCTTAAAATGGTATCAAAGAAAACGAGCTGAGGGGCCAAGTCCTGAGGACTGTGTGCCGTGACCTCGTTGTCATGTCTTTTGCAGTATGTGGAGCAGAAGGACTTCGCTCATCTCGGCCTGGAGCCCATCACCTTGCTGCAGCAGACCACATCGGGCCTGGCCCACCTTCACTCCCTCAACATCGGTGAGAGGCCGCGCTTTAGCAGGCCAACAGCCCGGGTAGGGGTAATCAGTGACCCAGGTGGGGCTAACCAGTAGCTTGGGTGGGCCTTGCTTCTGTTCAATCTCTTGGCTACATCGCCAGTAGCAAAGACGAGTGGTGTAAGAATTTGAGGAGGAATCCTACATAGTTGAATACCAGAGCCAGGTGGCGGCAGGCATCCTGGGAGTCTGACGAGGACATACTCCCCATTGGAGGAGGAGGCCTGGGGTTGCTCCTGGTAAGCATTGGACTAATCTGGAGTTCTCTATTAGTTCACAGAGACCTAAAGCCCCACAACATTCTCATATCCATGCCCAATGCACATGGCAAGATCAAGGCCATGATCTCTGACTTTGGCCTGTGCAAGAAGCTGGCAGCGGGCAGGCACAGCTTCAGCCGCCGATCTGGGGTGCCTGGCACAGAAGGCTGGATCGCTCCAGAGATGCTGAGCGAAGACTGTAAGGAGAACCCTGTGAGTAATAGGCTATGGCCCTTTGAAAACTACAGAACCAGCCCGTTGTATCTTCAGGAGTAGAACCTTTAAATTCCAGGTTTGGGGGCTGATGCCCGTGTAGCTGGAGAATGGCATTCCTTTCACCAAGAGCTTCCGTGTGAACTTTCTATGTCATCTCATGTTCAGATGATTAAAGGGGCAAATGTGGGCAATTATCTATTTTTTTCCCCTATTCTTCCAATTACTTGTTTTTTTGTTTTTTTGTTTTGTTGGTTGGTTGGTTTTTTGTTTGTTTTTTTGTTTGTTTTTGTTTGTTTTTGTTTTGAGACAGAGTCTTACTCTGTCACGCAGGCTGGAGTGTAGTGGTGTGATCTCAGCTCACTGCAACCTCCACCTCCCAGGTTCGAGCGATTCTCCTGCCTCAGCCTCCTGAGTAGCTGGGATTACTGGTACCTGCCACCACACCCAGCTAAATCAATCACTTTTTAACCCCTTTTTAATTTTGGTAAACTGGGAAGTCAGGACTTGCACAGCATGAGCAAACTTCAAGTTTTCATTATTTTTAAATTTTTTTGTTTTCTCAACTTATTTTGATAATTTTTAGACATAGAGAAAATTGAAAGAAAAAAATTTTTTAGAGGTGGAATCTCGCTATTTTGCCCAGGCTGGTCTTAAACTCCTGGGCTCAGGTTTAGCCTCCCAAAGTGCTGGGATTACAGACATGAGCCACAGCATCTGGCTGAAAGAATGTTAACATGAATACCTGTATACCTCCACCTAGATTCAACGTTTGTTAAAACTTTTGCCACATTTGCTTTATCTTTGCCTATTACTGAACCATTTGAATATAAGTAGCAGGCATCCTGACCCTTCACCCCTGAAGACCTCAGCACATGTCTCCTAAGGAATACATTGTGTTTCCAACCACAATACCATTATCCCACCTCAACAATTAATACTGTTTCTATCCATCATCTCATATTCAATCCATATTCAAATTTCCCCAATTAGTCCCCAAATGTCTTTTATAGAGCTGCGTATTTAGCTACCTACTGGGTTCGACACCTACTGGGTTTTGTATACCAGGATGGAATCAAGTGTCTTGCATTACATTTGATTCTGTCTCTTGGAATTTACACATCTTCCCACCTATATTTTGTTCCATGTTGAAGTTCCATTTTGAAGAGTCCAGGCAGTGGGTTATAAAATGCCCCATTCTGATTTGTTTACTTGTTTCCTCATGACAACGTTGAACATTTCTCTGTATTCCTCGTATTTCCTGGAAACCAGAAGTTAGGTGTAGAGGCTTGATTAGGTTCAAGTTAAATGTTTTTGGCATGAGTAGATCACAGGTCTCTGCATCAGAAAGCATGTGATGGCAGATTGTATCTGTAAGATTGTATCTGTAAGATTGTTATCGCCTCCTCTTAGTGATGCTACAGCTGATCTCGCTATCATAAGGGTTCATTTCCTCCTCTGTTGTTAGTATTTGGGGTGATCCTTCAGCACAATGTGATATCCTGTTTACTGACAGTCACTCACGCAGTGGTTTAGCATGTGTTGATCACCCTTGCCTGAAGTACTCAGTTCAGTAGAAATTCTTCTGCGTTATTAGCTGACATTTTTCTGTAAAGCAGAGCTTTCTTTTCACTTTCTTCTCTCTCTCTCTCTCTTTTTTTTTTTCTTGATCACTATGGGCTCAAGGATTTTGAAACTAATGTTATAATCCATTTTCATCCTTTTTTTGTTATTTACTTCTTTTGATACACAAATTGTTCCAAATTTGGTCAACCTGGAACCCCTTCAAGCTGGCTTCTGCATCCATTTGCTAGGAGTGCACTCACATTTGAGCACCTTATTCTAGCACAGGTCGCTGAGGCTCACCTTGGACACTGCCCGATGGAGACCTGGATGGGTCAGCCATCTTGAGTGGATTAGATATGGTCCTCTCTTACCCAGCTCACTGGGGACCAGCAGCTGGTCAGTTCATCAAAGAAGTCAGTTACAGTGAAGAATCATAAAAACACGTACACACGCCGTAACACTTAATTTTAACTTAAAGCAAGTAATATAAGCCCTTAAGTCATAGAAATCTTGTACTGTAGGCTAAGGTCTTTTCAGATTTGGGTCTGACTGACTGGAGTCCTCATTTTCCACCTTGCATTAAGCACACTCCTGTACCACTTCTGCATGGAGGCTTGGACACTTCAAACACTTCCTAAGCGATTTGAGAGCAGAAGCCTGGTTTTTAACGCTTCATGACCCAGTCCCTTACAGTTGAGTCCACCACACCGAATGCCGCAACAGCTCTTGTAACCATTCCCTTTCCTTTGTGGAGTCTTTCTAAAGATTCAGCTTACCTCAAAATTCGTGGCACTCATGTTTGACAGCTTATGGAATATTCAAATTACAAGGACAAGTGGCAATAATAAGTTTGGGAAAGAACATAATTGGGGCCACGGAGGTTGGAAAGATGCCTCTTCACCTTAGTGTTGACTATGCTGGGACAGCAGGTGGCACAGAGTGTAGGGGGCGTGGGAGACCTGGAGAGCTCTGGGAATCAGGGGCGAGCTCCAGCTGTGGTGGCCATGTTCCTCCTGTCCTGAATCCAGCGCCTTCCTAAGGGAAAATCTGGTGAGGTGGAATAAAGCATGGTAGGTGTGGAGATTGGAAGACCTGAATGCCATCCTGGTTTGTCACATCCAGCAGTGACCGTGAGCTTGTCATGCAACCTTTCTATCCACATTCTTATCTGGGGATGAAAGTATTTGCTCTGCTCACCTCACAATGTTGTTGTGAGGCTGAGAGTGCTGTGTTGTTCAAGGTGTGTCTCCTCCAGCATGGAAGGCGATGAACCCCTGGTTCCTCTGACTAGACCCTCACTTCACCTAGTGGAGAATCTCAGAGGCGGGGCCTAGTAACAGGGACCTGAGCTGTGCTCAGGAACCACCCTGGTGTTACACCCCAGGTAGCATGAGCTAAAAAACACAAACGTACATTTCCCTCAAAGGAAGCTCATCTGTAGACACAGAATGGTTTCATGGCATAATTGAGAGGCTTTCTCGGATTAACATCAAAAATGACCTCCTTGGTAACTTGTCAGATAGTTTGTTTCTGGGGCTGTTTTTGAATCATAAGCTGTTTTATTCACTTATTAGCAATTTTGCTACCTACTGTGTGCAGGCACCATTCTGGGCCCTGGGGGTACAGCAGGAAAGCAATGACACAGAGACCCTGCCTGTGAGCACTTTCATGTTGGGGGTAAGGAATATATAACAGCCAGGAGAGCTTTTGATGGGCCAAGCACTGTCGCAAGCAACCATTTTTGCATACTAATGCATCTCTCTTGACAACAACCCCATGAGGAGCATGCTGTCAGTGTCCGCATCTCACATGAGAGGGAACCAGGGGCTTCTAGGTGGCTCCAAGCCCACCTTCTCCACTGTGACCTCTGACACCCGTGCAGTGCTGCAGGTTACCCCTCACTGCTCTGCGCAGTTCATGTATATCAGCTGATTCTCCCAGAACACCTTCCAGGTGGCGGAAGCAGCAGCAGTGCTCCTCCCTCCCTGGCTGTGAGTGAGGATGAAAACTCTGCTTCCACACCTCTCACGCCTCATGTCTCTTTTCAGACCTACACGGTGGACATCTTTTCTGCAGGCTGCGTCTTTTACTACGTGATCTCTGAGGGCAGCCACCCTTTTGGCAAGTCCCTGCAGCGGCAGGCCAACATCCTCCTGGGTGCCTGCAGCCTCGAGTGCTTGCACCCAGAGAAGCACGGTGAGCAGTCCAGGGGTCGGGGTTGGGAGCAGCTGCTCAGCTGCCTCAGGTGGCCCCGCGGAGCTGGGCTGGTGCCACCTCTGCACTCACGGAGGCCCTGGCGCCCCAGCTGCTCACCCCACAGGCCTCAGGAACCTACAGACTTGTGCCAAATCTGGTAGAGGGTTGGCAGGGTTATCCCTGGGGCACCACCTTCTAAAGCTGAGACGCTCCAAGATTCCTCCAGGTCACCAACTACTTGTGTGACCTAGACAAAGCCCCCTTTGGAGACCTTCTTTTTCTACCTGGTGACATGAGGGTTAAATAATCTGTGGTCCCTTCCTGCACTGGCATTTGGGAAGACAAATTGTCTTCTCTCTTGTGAGGGCCAGTGGTCAGCAGGTGCGGTCCATGCTGGGCTGGGGACAGACAAGCTTTATCCTCACCCTGCTGGTCTCCTGGTGTGGGCGCAACAAGTCTTTCTTTCAGACTTCAGGTTTTCCTGGCTGGTAATTGGCCCATGACACTCCAATGCTGCCTTTTGAAAAAATTAAAACTAAATTATTGTTTTGTTTATGGTTGATTTTCCTTATTGTAGAAAACACAGATTAGCATAAAGGCCCATGTAGTCCCATTATACAGGGATAAATGATGGCTGTTAATACCTTTGCATATATGTTATTCTAGTCATTTATCTAGATGTGTATGCATATTTTATAAAGATAAGGTTAAATCCTGCATCCTGTTTTGCAACATGCACGTTTTTCAACGTCACCTTGAATGTCTGTCCACAACAATCTGTATTTAGCCACAGCTGCATTTTAACAGCTCATGGCCCAGCGTAGAGAGGCACAGTAATATATCCACTCGGGCCTCTGATGTTGGATGTTCACAGTCACTTCCTTCACAAACCATGCAGTGAGGACTCACCTCATTGGCTGAGGTTTTGTGTCTGTTCCTAATTATTTGATTGGAATAAATTCCTCTAAATAGAATCATAAATGAGAGGGTATGCAGCTTTTTAAAGTTTTGGTATTTCCCTGTGACTTTGGACTGGTAATCGTGAGTTGCTCATTTTCCTCCTTTATAGAAGACGTCATTGCACGTGAATTGATAGAGAAGATGATTGCGATGGATCCTCAGAAACGCCCCTCAGCGAAGCACGTGCTGAAACACCCGTTCTTCTGGAGCCTAGAGAAGCAGCTTCAGTTCTTCCAGGTAGAGACGTTTGTTCTCTTTATCCAGAGTCTTCATTTAATGTTTTTCAGATTTTGAAAATATAGAAAAGGACAAAGAATAAAACAAATTGCCTATTACCCTAAAACTGAGAGATAATCATGGCTGATGTTTTAATGTTTTCTTCATATATAAAAGTATACTTGGGATCTAACCATATATACAGTTTCAGAACCTGCTTTTTTTTTTCAATTGTATCTTTCATGTTAAAGTTCTAAAATTCCAATGTCCATAGTATTCTTTCATATGGATGTGCCATAATTGTTAAGCTTTAGATTATGGAATTTCCAAACATATAATACATAAATGTTTAAACGCTATAACGAGCATCCTTTATTCATCCCTCAGGTTCAACAAGTATTAACCTTCACCCTCTCCCCTCCCCAGGTTATTTCAAAGCAAATCTCAGGCATCATGTAATTTCATTCAAGTGTCTTAAGTTTATTTATTTATTTATTTATTTTTTGAGACAGCGTCTCACTCCGTTACCCAGGCTGGAGTACAGTGGTGCAATCTTGGGTCACTGCAACCTCTGCCTCCCAGGTTCAAGTGATTCTCCTGCCTCAGCTACCTGAGTAGCTGGGATTACAGATATGCACCACCAGGCCTGGCTAACTTTTTTTGTATTTTTAGTAGATATGGGGTTTCACCATCTTGGCCAGTCTGGTCTCGAACTCCTGACCTCAGGTGATCTGCCCGCTTCAGCCTCCCAAAGTGCTGGGATTACAGGCATGAACCACCACGCCCAGCCCAAGTGTCATAAATTTAAATGCTTTCTTATATTGTATTTGGTTCTATCATCTTTTACACAGTCTTTGCCCAGATCTCATTTTGCTTAAAATAGGTTCTGCAAAGTTAGAACTCCTTTGGCAATTTGACTATTTAAAAGCTTTGTGACAATGTCAGGTGACTTTTGAAGAGGTGATGTGTTTTTCAAAGTCTTCCATGTATGAATTGAACATAACTCACCCGATCACCGCCTTCCCAGTGCGTGGCTCTGAAGAGCAGGCTTGTGGGGCAGTACTTTTCCCCTTGGGTCCAGGCAGAGTACATTTTAGTGAGCACCATACTCAGAAGTGACCGTCATGCTCTCCGGGGGTCGGACTGGGGCCTTGGCCAGAGGGAAGCCCCCAGAATGTAAGCTCCTCAAGGGCAGGAGTGCTTGACTGCTGCATTCACTACTGTGTCCCTGCCTCCTGGCCCAAGGTGGGGGCTCAGAAACCATTCAGATGGATCGGGCTGGGGAGAGTTCAATGCTGTCTTCCATGTTATAGCCTAAGGATTGGTCACTGTGTCCATGGACATGATGTGAAAATTCTCAAGTCCATGTGTCTTCCAGGGACTTGTGAAAACCAGCCAGGTCATTTCGATCACAAAATACAGAACACGAATAAAACCCATGCAAAGGGACCTTCACCCACCATGGGACAAGATTTAAATGCTTAGTATCTCCAGGTATATGTCTGTCAAACACACCTGGCTTCCACCCAGGTCATTTAGCTGTAACAGCTTTGCAGCTCAGACACGTGTGTTCCCAGTGCACCCAAGCTGACGATCTGACCTCTCCACAGCTTTTCTCTGACAATTGTAAAGTAGGAATTCAGCCAGTCTGGCTTCGTCTTCATTATAGAAAAGGCTGCTCTGAGAAAACGGTCTCCTAAGGCTACTTAACATTGATGTAGGCAGGGCTCACCACTCCCTGTGTCCTCAGCTGTCGACCTGTCTTACTGATGGGACTTCAAGAGGCCTGTACTTGGGTGCTTCCTGACCCTCTCCTTATTTCCAAAGTCAAATGCAGAGCAAGGTTTGAATCCCAACAGAAGCACCTGGAGCCCATACTCTTGCCACCAAGTTTCCTCTTTGAGAAGAAGGCCCGGCTTCACTGGTCTTTTCTACTGTTGGAGGGAGGAGTGGCGACCCTCCACTAGTTATGGGCTTGAGCATACCATGTTTCAGTGAGTAGACAAAGCACAGGATGCACATCAAATCTGAGCTTTCCTTTTCTTTTTGGTTTTGGTTCGGTGGATATAGATTGCACTTGTGGCTTCATACACATGGCACGTGTGTGCACATGTGAAATTCAGGGTATGCGTTCATGGTCTATGTGCAGGTGTACTCTGTGAAGCTTCTCTGTCATGGAGAAGCTCTCTGTGGACCCGTCCTTCATGAGGAACAGACAGGGCACCTCACAGGGAAAGACACGAATGAGGGAGGCAGAGGGCAGGGTGCCTGCTGCCCAGCTCTGGGGCAGGCTGCAGTCTGGGCCTAGGGGCCGTCATCCCTTCATGGCTCATGTGCCAGTGACCGTCTGTTACTCAGAATCCCAATCGCACAGCTCTCAGTATCTCCGGCACTGTCCATCATCTGCTGCCCTTGTTTCTCTCACAGGACGTGAGCGACCGAATAGAAAAGGAATCCCTGGATGGCCCGATTGTGAAGCAGTTAGAGAGAGGCGGGAGAGCCGTGGTGAAGATGGACTGGCGGGAGAACATCACCGTCCCCCTCCAGACAGGTGAGCACACTGCGGTGTGTGAGAGGGCATGTTGCAAAAGCCGCTGCCGCCTTTCCAAGAAGTAAACGTGGAAATGGACGCTCCAGGCTGTTCAGGCCCCAGATCCCACCTGTCGGGTTTGAGACTTTCTTGGGTGTGTCCTCTGTGGTTTGGTTACACTGATGTGTGTTTCGTTTTTGTTCCCTAGAGTGACAGGTGAGTGATGGTGTCATGCTCTAGGTGGTCATTTCCGATCTGGGTGCGATCACCAGGTGGGGTTCAGGGGGACACCGCCCTTGGGTTGGATGGGAGGATCTGCTCCTGTGACTGGGTGTGGAGTGACCTCACCTTTCGGTACAACTCCGTAATCCCCAGAACCCGGGAATTCTTTTCTTTTAGAATGTATTAGTTTTAAATTTGATTACCCATTGCGTCCCTCAATGTTTTTCTAGACCTGCGTAAATTCAGGACCTATAAAGGTGGTTCTGTCAGAGATCTCCTCCGAGCCATGAGAAATAAGGTAAGCGGTGTGTAAATACTGGGGAGGAAGTTTATCCAGTAGATGGTTGGGGATGCTACTCACGCTGACACGGACACCTTCCTCCTTTCATCCATTCTTGATAAATCTTCTATCCGTGCTGGCATTCTCATCTCTCAGGAGCTAGGCAGCTTCAGCTGGACTTGACAAACTGCAGGCTATTGCTTCTTTTATGCTGGTTTTCCCTTCAGGGACGCAGGTGCAGATGAAGTTCTGGGAAGCAGTGCTCTGCGGCCCGTGTCCCTCATGGTCTCTGGTTACTGACTTTTGTGGGGCCTTCTCCCTGTCTGATGCAGCCACTGTGTGTGAACATGTATAAACATGCCTCGAATGCGGGGACCCCGCTGGGACAGACACTCCAGTCTCAGGCAACTTTACTCCTCCTGAGGTGACCAGGAGTGTCTCCAGGTCCTGACTGTCACAGAAGGCTTGAGCCCCTGCTGGACTGGCTGGGCCTTGCTCGCTTCGAGGCCTCCTCCTGAGTGAGGGAAGCAAGGGAGATGGTGGGGCTGGATTATTGGATACATAAGCCTTTTTTCCTTTTCTTTACCAAAAACCAAGCAACACTCATATTCTTTCTCTTCCTTGCATGATGAAAGGGTGTTTTGTCAACACTTCCCAAGCTTTCTAACCCCTTTCTAACCTCCCAAGCTTTCCAACTCTCTTTGCAGAAGCACCACTACCGGGAACTGCCTGCGGAGGTGCGGGAGACGCTGGGGTCCCTCCCTGATGACTTTGTGTCCTACTTCACGTCTCGCTTCCCCCACCTCCTCGCACACACCTACCGGGCCATGGAGCTGTGCAGCCACGAGAGACTCTTCCAGCCCTACTACTTCCACAGGCCCCCAGAGCCCCAGCCCCCAGTGACTCCAGATGCCCTCTGAGCAAGGGCGGCCCCTCTGTTCTGGTGGCCCCAGCTGTGACTGAGGGCCTGGTCACCACAATTAGAGCCTGACACCTCCCGGCTTTGCAGGGAGACCAGGCTTCCCAAACCAAGTGCCTTGAGCCGCCTGCTCTGCAGCCCACAGAGGACAGTGCTGACCCCAGGAAGTGGGAGAAGTGGCCCCTCGTGACCTACAGGGAGCTGGGAAGATGCTGGCCCTAAAAGCCTTACAGTCAGGATGTCTGCAAAGGAGAGCCTCAAAGACAGAGCGAGTAGCACCCCCAACCGTCTACTGGATAAACTTGCGTCAGACTTTTTTTTTTTAATTCCTGCTTAATGTCAAGTCTGTGGGCCTTTCAGGAAGGGGTAGGAGGGAATCCTGCATTTTGCTTGCGTGCTGGGGCAGCTAGGCTGAGACGCACCAAGTGCAGCCTTCGCTGGAGACCGGACTTGAGTGGTGGGGGATGCTGACAAGGAGGATGGAGTTCAGAGGGTGTCGTCCTGCGGTATGAGATGCCTCATCGATCACAGATGTGCCCAGAGTAGCCCAGGTCACTGTTAACTAGTGTTTCTACAGAGGCAGCAGGAGCCGTGAGCATGAGGCGTGGCATTAGGGACCGGTCAGCTATGCACGCCAGCAGGTGGGGTCGTGCCTGCAGGTCTCAGAAATGAAGAGGCTGCTGTGTTCTGGAGGCAGTCGTGGCTCAGTGCCAGTGGCCAGAACAGTGGCCTTTGGTGGATGTGCCCTGGGCCATCTGGAGGTGGTGCTCAGGAGTGCTTAGGGCAAGAGGTAAAGATTCCCTGGCCTTCAAGGAGAGCAGCTAAGACCCAGACAGGGGCTAGCCTTCAGGACCAGAGGGAGGCTGCCGAATGGGACCCTCCTGGTCATCAGGAGAAAGCCCTGGGCCAGCGAGTAGTCAGTCAGCCTCCTTCGTCCCCAAGGCTGGTGGAACAAGAGGCTCATGGTGAGTCAGGGCCAGGGTGGGGCCAAGGCCAGGGTCACTGTGTACTTCATGGGCCAGCTGTTTTGTTTTTCTTGGCAAATTTTAATAACTATATTTTAATTATACTGTAGAATGCTATGTCAGCATGAGTAAGCTAAACTTGAAGCTTACTTGTGAAGAATAAATAGATAGAATACATCTTCTATTTTTTTGTGGTACCAAAAATCACCATCCCCTCAAGAAAGAGTGTTCATGTATAGAACATTCTCTAATGCTGAAGAGTAAAACATTATAGCAACACTATGTAAATGTATTGAACAGTCTCTAGATTATGTTTGTGCCATACTGTTTTTTTCTAAACTTAACATAATTTTTAGCTTTAGTTTCCATCAAAACTTTTGTCTTTTCTCTCCCAAGAGCCTTAGAGGTTAAAATGCAATCAGCCTACCGTGTAAGATGTTGTCCGTGTACTTTCTCCAGCCAGTTGGGGGATCATTGCGGCTCAGGCCTGGTGAACTCAGAGACTCCATTCAGTATTAAGAATGGGATTGTTGAATTTTACTCACTCACAGAGAAATCACTGTTTCTTCATGTTGTAAGATGTTTTCTGTTTGTGTATTTGTATCATGGTTACTCATCTAAAGCTCTTACTCTGCCTTTATAGAATTCAGTTCCCCTCCTTTCATCATAGCTAAAGTGACTTTTGTGCCTACTATTAACATGATCCTACATCCTTAAATCTCATTGATTACCTCACTTAGGCCTTGGAACCTTGGCCCTTGGTCGGTGTCCTTGGCATCTTCTAAGCAAGGCTGTGCACTTTTCAGAAACGTGGCCAGACTGCGTTTCCTGCTGCTCGTTGCCATGTGCCAAGTGGTCTGAGACTGCTCCCCACACGGCTGCAAGGCGCTTTACCTGTGGGCTTTGGCAGTAACCCAAGAGAGGATCAGAAGGTGGAGAAGCTGCCACGAGTGGTTTAGCAGGACTGCCACAGGGACTGCCCCCCCACCTTGTTCTCAGCACAGATTTTCTCTTTGGGAGTACCCAGGTGATTTCTAGCGGCCCAATTTTGTGTCATCTCCCTGCTTTAGCCCTACTTGCCTAGAGACAACTGTTTCAAATGCCTTTTCTGCTTATACTAGTTTCTAACCACCCAGATTTCTCAAAATCATTTATTCAGTGTATTTTATTTGAGCACTTACTGTATTGAGCTAGGCAGGATATAGGGTGCTGGAGATACAGCGATGAACAAGACAGGCAAAACTGCTTTCCTGAAACTTGTGATGAGAGACAACAATAAAAAAGTGTTGCTGCCACAAAGAAACCGAAGTGTGTGGGGAAGGGCACGTGTCTGCGGTTTCATCTCTTCTGTCCCAGAATCACAGGGATCTCGTCCAATCACCTCTGGTCTCTCCTCTTAGTCACCTTTAGGAGCCCAGGTTCCCGTCCATCCTCTGGGGGGTTTGTTTGAAGAGATCTCGTGTGGGTACTTGTCATGAAAACACCTTGGGCATCATCTGGTGTATCCAGTTCCAGTCTCGAGAATTCTGGTTTCCCACTGTGCTCAGCGAGTGGAAAGTTCTTTTCAGGCCAGAACAGCTCTGCACCATCGCGTATCGTGTTGCATCTTAGCTGTTTGATCTGTAGTTCAGGTTATGGGACTTCTCCAATCCCGGAAGGCTGTTGAACTTTTTAGAAATACTGTACGCTATCTTCATCTTTAAGATGGAACTTGGTCACATCTGTTAGGAATCCAAAGGACACTATGACTTATTTAAATCTTGTCTTGAACCTTGTATTGAACCTCTGTTGGGCACATGTGCCAGAATTTCTCTTGTTGTTTCTCGAGTCTTTTTAATTTCAGTTTTTTTGTTTGTTTGAGACAGATTCTTGCTCTGTCGCCCAGGCTGGAGTTCAGTGGCACGATCTCTGCTCACTGCAACCTCCGCCTCCTGGGTTCAAGTGATTCTCCTGCCTCAGCCTCCCGAGTAGCTGTGATTACCAGTGCGTGCCACCATGCCCAGCTAATTTTTTGTATTTTTTTTAGTAGAGACAGGGTTTCACCGTGTTACCCAGCATAGTCTCGATCTCCTAACCTTGTGATCCGCCTGCCTCGGCCTCCCAAAGTGCTGGGATTACAGGCACGAGCCACCGTGCCCGGCCTAATTTCAGTTTTTGAAGTGTCCACAAGTCATGAGGCACCAAAGCATTTTCACTTGGGGAGCATTGGTATTCCCTGATTAGCCGCGAAGCAATCTAGCAGCTGAAGTGTGAACTCCTGGGTGCACAGGTGTTCTGCCTCCCGCTGTGTTCTCGGTGCAGTGGTGGTCAGAGGCCCTTCCAAGGAGACATCACTCTGATCAGTTACAGATAGATGTTCTGGAAGATCTGCAGGTGAGAGATCCAGCAGTTTCTTCCCACCAACTCTAGAAGAAAGGGCCTTATCAGAGTTGGCCCTGAGCCTTTGGTAAGGTTTTGTGTGCATGTGATTCAGTTATCTTTGGCAATTCTTTCTCACTGCAGTGAGAGAGATTAATTGGTTGCTGATCAAACCGCTCATGCAGATGGGGGGACCTTTGGATTGTACAACTTTCTCATCTTGGCTGCTTTCTTTTCAGGCAGTCGGACTTTGGCCAGGTTTGGCTTTCCCAGAGCCGTTTCTTTCTCTGTCCTCTCCGTGGATCCTCGCAGTGTGCCCATTGGATCCTCGGCCTTGTGATCCTCTGGGAAGCGGGGCCAGTTCCACTTTTGCAGCCTTCTGTGCTGGAAGAGAAGTCCAGCGTCCTGGAAGGAGCCTCTTTAAGTTCCCCGTTTCGCTTTCTCTCTCTGCTCTTTTAGTGTCTGAGATTGCCTTTCTTTGAATTTCCCAGCGTTTCTTTTCCTTGTTCCTTCCCTCACCATCCTGAAGTCATTTTGGTTGACTGTGTCCTGGCTTTGGCTTCTCCTGGCAGGAAGTCATCAGGCATCCTCTCTAGGTGAGCCAAAATTCCACCCTCCCAGGTTGGACATCATCTTTTAAACCCAGTGGTCTACTCCCCTCCTCTACTTTGTTATCTTTATGAAACAGTGATTTCCCATGAGTAACCCTGGTTCTTTTTGTACCAGCGCTTAAATCCTTTCTGTAGACATTGGCAAACCACAAAGAACGTGACTGCAATGAGCCTCCCACTGGAGCAGCCTTAACCAACACTTTGGCCAAAGCCCCCACCTCCCCTGTGTACTGTGTATGTGTTTGGTGGATACAGTATTCCTTTTCAGTGTCCCTAAAGCTGTGACGGGGAGTCCCCACTTACCTAGAAAGCATTACCAGTCACCTACTCTGCATTCTCAGATGCAAACCTTGTGTAGTGTTCTTTTTGCAATGACCTATTTATTTAACCTATTTATATTTATTTAATTTTTACTCTGAAATGTATCCAGTTACAATTGTACTTGCTTAAAGCACATCAGATTTGTTTACCCCTGACCATTTTAAAACTGGAAAAGTGATACTGTATCCTTCCATGGGACGGATGCTTTACAGTAGTGTCATTAAAGGGTGATTAATTTGGTCGGGGTAAAATGTTAATTTTTAGGTGATTTTTAAGAATTCTGTGCCATTGCGTCTTCTGTGTGGATGGTTAATTGTTTAATTGGTATGTGTTAATTGTGTGATACAGTCTTCTTTGTGGAACCCAAAATCCTCTTTTTAGCTTTATATTTTATAAACTGCCAGATTGTACAAGTTTTATGTGTATTTTTAAAGCTTGAAGACACATGAGGGTCATTATCTAAGTTAAACAGCCTATTTTTGTACCTCCTGTACAGTTTTATAATTCTGCTGATTGATGGCAGCATCTTATGTCGAGCCAACCACAATAAAGATAGTTTTAGATTTTGGAGTCAGTCTCATTTTCTTAAAGATTCAAATACCATTCTCAGACAGGCTGTGCTCACTGTCCTCTTGGGTGGCCGGGGCTGGACTATGAGTCCTTTGCAGCTGGCTCGGCTGGTGGGGGATGGGTGTCCTCATGTCCACAGCAGGGTCCAGGGACTGGGACACCCTCCATGGTGGCTGTGTATCAGAAAAGCTTCTTTGAAACCTTGCAGGCAGTTCCCAAAAGTATTGATTTGGGCTGAATTCCAGGAAGGTGGCCAGCTGGGACAGACACGCCACGTGGTAAGAATTGGGCTTCAGAGCAGAGTTTGGGGCATGGGTACAGTAGGTAGGATACTGGACCAGGAAACCCAGGAGGGGAGAAATGCCATTGAGGCCAACAAGGGCGGGGAGTGCCCCAAAGAGCAGGTTAGCAGCATGTGGAATGAGCTCAGCTGACGTCTGCTTGGACTTTGCGATCCTCCCAACATACCTGCTCCTTCCCCTGCGCCCTCTCTATGGACAGGTGAGGCTCTACTTGCTCTTGCAGTGCCAGGCCGGGGGCAGCTTACAAGGGAGCATCCCAAGGGCCCACCCACCCCAGGACAGCTTATCAGAGGCTGCATCCAGCCTGGCTCCTGCCCTCCACAAGCTCCACCTGCGACTACCCCATCCTGCTCCCTTCATGCCTCACAGGGCACCAGGAGCAACCCTGAGACCTCTGGACACACACGTCCTCTGAGATGCAGTCTCGGACACAGCCAACTCCAAGGGCGAATGAAGGGCGGCGAGGTGTCATTGTGTCACCGGTAGAGGGTTGTGACTGCAAGTTGCCCAGGTTCTTGGCGTTTTGAACAGATAATTGGACAAAATGCCCAGAGAAGCACAGAAAGAATGAAGCAACAAAAAAACGAAAGGGATTTATTGAAAGCAAAAGTACACTCCACAGTGTGGGAGCGGACCTGAGCAGCGGCTCCAGGGCCCGGATACAGAATCTTCTTGGGTCCAAATACCCCCTTAGAAGTTTCCCATTGGCCACTTCATGCTCACCTCAGGTAAATGAAGTGGTAACCTGCAATCAGTGGGTTGCAGACAGCAGCCAACCAAAGGCTTAAGTGAAGTTACTAAGGTCACACCCCTGTGCAAACAGCTGATTGGTTGCCAAAAGCAACCAATTAGGGATGAATTTACAAAGTTATACTTCTGTGCAAATGAAGACTTAGTCTGCAATCAGTTGATTGGT